TTATTTTTATTATCCTCTAATACTTTAGAGTAATATAGTTTCTTACATCTCCTCAAAATCTCAATTAATTTGTTCTTATATGACTTATATTTTTCTTCCGCCTTCTTTGATCTGTCCTTTATGAATTCCTTATATAACACATTCTTTTTTTTACATGCATTCTGTAATCCCTTACTCATCCACGGTTTCCCACTGTAATTCCTTTTGTTTTTATACTGCTTACGAGGACAGTTCCTGTCATATACTTTCTTAAATATATTTAAAAATTGCTCATATGCTTTATCTAAGTCATCCTCTCTGTAAACTGGTTCCCAGTTTTGCCCCATGAAATCATCTCTTAGCCTCCTTACAGCATGTTCATTCATCACCCTCCTATAGAAAAAAAATTTGTTTTTGGCCTCTCTTCTCTATACTGGCCCTCATAAACCACAAATATTGGTAGATGATCACTAATATCATTTATGAGTAATCCACTTGTCATTTTACTATCCATAACATATATTATCGATTAATGTTCCATGCTGGGTTGTTACTCTACTTGGTTTTGTAATTTTTGGGTATAAACTGCATCTATATATTGTGTTAATAAACTCCTCAGTTCCTGTGTGCTTGTTAGGATTTAACAAATCTATAGTCACCACATATGAACATTAATTTATGACTTATTGTCAAGTAATTTTCTTCCATCCAGTCATTAAATTTTTCTATGCTGGCTCCAGGTGCTCTATAAATACAGCTTATTACAACATTTTTCTTTTTTTCCATGAGTATTTCTACTTGGTCCAAACTGAAACATTTAAACAAGTGGATGAATCCTAGTAATGTTCGGATCTTCTGACATTTCCATTATGACGCTCACATTTGCAGTTTTGAGTGAAATATCTCCACTCGGTGCTTTTCAGTCTGATAAGATCATTTATTTTAGTTAGTTTTTCACCTCCTTCCAGAATTTTAATTAGAAAATCTCTTAAATTCTTGGGATTTTGAAGCTGGAGTAAACAAACAGACCTGACTCAACTACTGAGTAATGCTGTAGTTGTACCTCAGTAAAAGGACCGTGATGTCTGCACAGTCTACCATATGCTTGTTTTTCCATGGTAGACTGGATGTAACACCACTTCCTGCAGTGTCGCCAAGACGACGGAGTAAGTCAACAGAACCTAAATGACTTTGCACAGTTTTATTTGCATCCCATAATAATTTGCACAGATGATGAGGAGACTTTTAGCTTGGTGGTGTACAGTAGCAGAGGGATTATGGAGCTGATTAATGGTGGAGCTCAGTGACGGATTACACCTCAGTATTTTGTTTATTGCAATCTTTATGTTGCAATAAACCTGCAGTGAGTTAAATAATAACTAGCTCACAGTATACTCAGCAATTCTTAATCACAGAGCAAATGTTTGTCATTCACTTTATGCTGTTTAGACACTAGATTAACTAAGTAAATATACTCAGAGTATCTGGAACTACTGTTGTTTCATGCAGTTTATATTGCAGAAGCATACTCTATAGACTAATTTATTAGCCAAGACTACAGAAAATAACCTGTGCCTGGTAGCCTTCTCACCACAGGGGTAAGAATATGTGTATTTACACCTGTTTGACCCCTTAGATAATTTTTCATGGGCTGGCCAAAATAGCAACATACACAAGGAGAGTCATTTGCAGAAACCGTTAATATTTAATTGGCTGAATACAAAAATACATCCAGGAAGCTGTCACCGAGCTGCTCCACACACCCAGGGGGAACAAAAACAACACTGGCATTCTGCACTGACATCAGAATGTCCTCATAAATCTGAGTTTACATCGAAGGAGCAAAGTGTATGGTGTAAAACAAAAGCTACTCTATAGTAAGGTGCCCGTTTATTAGATAGACTGGATTTAGTTTCAGCTGGGTGCGCCTAATAAATGGTGGAGTGAGTGTGTGCAGAGAAATATTCACATCCTTTCATGTTATAAGTTACAAGTAGTGGTCCTGCCTTGAAGATGCTAATGCTTTAAAGTGTCAGTAGCATTTTACTGATGTAGCTGGTCAAAGTTGTACTAGCCTACATAAATGTTGGGCAGCTTAATCTATAACAGTGCAACATATGTTATAACCATTAAAATCTTAATGTATAAAGTAACTATAGCTGTCAAATAAATGTAGCTGAGCCTCATGTTAGTATAAAGTAGCATGAAAATGTCAAATTTGTGCATCCTCTGTGCTCCAACACTGGTGAGTGTGTTAGTGAATAGTTTTTACTGTGATCAGAGTGAAGTTTGACTGATAGAACTGAGGATGTAAGCGGTGTCTAAGGGGCGACTTTAAGGCTTTCAAAAGACTCCAGCAAGGAGAATCACAAAGTACTTCTGAGGATAAAGACCGTCAGCTCCAACTACTCTCTCCTCTTGTCTGCCTTGGGTCTCTGTCTGTCAGCCTTTCTAAAACACATCTCTTTCTTCTAGTCTCTGGGCATAGCTCAATGTGGTGTCCTCAAACATCTCCTGAGCTGCCAGTCACACACTGAAAACAGGGCTATGCCTCAGCCTGTAGCCTGTGTAGGAGCCGAACCTCCTTAAAAAGCCAGAGCTGCATTCTGTGGTGGTATTATTAGACAAAAAGAGAGTCTGTAGAGAGGAACAGCAACAGGCCACAAATTGTGGCCTGTTGCTGAGCTAAAGTGTCCCATACCTTGGCTTTTTCAGCACCACTTTCAATAAAAGCGATTATTATTATTATGATTTCAAGCCTCTTTGCAATTTGGGTTTTTTTGCATTTATTTTATTTTTTTTATATGCAAGGGTGCTGGTGTATAGCAGGAGGCTGATGACACTGAACAGGTCTCACACTTCTCAAGCCAACTGTAGTATGAGAGAGAGCACGTTTGTGTGTTGTGCCCTGCTCAGTGCTGTCCCCTTCATCTGTCAAAGGAAACAACAGCATAATAATGAATTGCAGAGTTAGGCAACTGTATAATAGTTTAATGGAAATATAACAACAGCAGAAATCGTGTCCTGCATAGTCCTGTGGTCCACAACAGGACCGGAGTGCCGTTGAACAATACAGCAGCCACATAGGGCAACACACATTCACTTCTACTGCTGTAAATCTCGTGCATTTTTTTTTCTACCGCTTTTCAAGTTACACAGTGAGCTTAGAGAAATTCGCAGTCAGGAAAACACAACCCACCTTTGGCAAGCCTCCTGAATTCCCCTTTCATCTGTAGGAGAATCATCCATCACTATCGCATCCGTGCTTTCTCCTATTGTCGCGCAAGCATCCATCTCCCTTTTGATTCGCCTTTGAAAGTAAAAGTGTTAAACAAGCAATTATGGATTTCCTGCTATTTAGAATCGTGTTAACCAAACAGTTCTCATCCACGAGGATCACAGGCTTGTTTTTGAGGCTGCTACTTCAGAGCAGCGCCGGGGCCGTGTGGGTTAATCTGCCCCGAGCTGCGCTCTGATTGGCCGAGGCGCGGTGATGCTGAGGACGCAGCCTGGTCGCTGTCCAACCGGACGCGGTGCTGGAGCACAATGTGGCGGAGAGTACGCGTCAGTGCCTGCTTAATTGGCTCAAACAGAAGCTACAGCTGTTGTTATGAAGGGGCACAGACAGTGATGCTGTGTTCAGTTACAACAGTAACTTAATTGGGACATTCAGCCGCTGATGGGCGTTGCATTATTTATATCTTAAATACGCTACATGCAGGATTACTCTTGTGAAGTGAGTTTAGATAAGAGCCACTAAAACCAATCCCCCATTTCCTTTATTTAAATTTATATCAGGCAATAAAGACGAGGTTGATAATAAATGCAGCCATGACAAGAAAACGTCTTTAAATTTAAGCTTGTTAAGTCTAAAAATCACATTTTTGCTGCATTACAGCAAAAAATAGGCAATTTAAATGTTATAGTTAAGTGATGCTAGTTTAGGCTTACATCTGACCACCTACAGTGTCTCTGTTAATGATTCATAGCCTAGGTCCTCTTCTATTGGGATAGATTAACAGTAAGATGTTAATTAGAACTGGGCTACTTTTGGATTGCAAGTTTATGAAAAATCATCTTGAGTGTTTGGACCCTTTGGCAAATGTGTCAACACTAAACAGCACATTTGATGGAATAAAAATGCTTTATCGGTGACTCTAACATTTATAGCTGCCTAGCAGATAACTTATTAAAAGTGAGAAGCCCATTAGCATGTGTTAATATATTACTGTGTTAAAACAGAAACACCACTCACAGACTGGCAAACCAAAAGTTGTTCTTAGAAGCACAGTGACAAAGCCACTGTAGTTAGAGCTTATAAAGCCTTTCAGGTGGCTTATTAGAATCACACTGTATTGCAGCAGCAACTTTAAAATGCTTTATTTTTATTACTGTATAATCAACAAAAAGGTAGAGACCAGACTCCAAACTACTTTTATTTGCTACTCATAGTTCTTCATTAACCATTAATAAAACAATCAGTGTAAACCTATAATAAAGGGTGCTTTATTAGAAAGCAGCATATTGTAGACAATTCATCATATTTATGTGATTATGTTATGTTCAGCATACATCTAAATCATCCTACAGTCATAAAATACAGCATTGATCAGTGAAATGTTGTGGAGTACAGTTTTAAAGTGGGGCAAAATGGAATTCCTCATGCAGTACCTCAAAAATCCTCTTTCATGTAATTGCTTTGCTACATTGTTCTTTAGCTAAAGAGATTCAGATTAATCATTTCTGAGCTCTGAAGAAGAACAAAGGAAGAAAAGGGAAAACCCATGACTCTGGCCTGCTTATTAAGAAGTGAGAGTTGAGCTGAGCAGCTCAAAGTAGAGGAGAAACTGACACAGCAGACCTGTGTGAGTCGCTGCTAATGAGGCGGCCACTAGTCTGGCTCTGGTTATAAATATCACTCATGTCACTGGGCTTTGAAGGACCACCTTGGGAAAAAAAGGAAATTATTGGTTGAAAGTAAGGCAAAGATCAGGAGGAGGTGAGAGGACTTTGTCTTCTACAAAACTTTATTTCAAGGTTTTAATCAGAAGCAGTGACAGTGGAGGGGTATACAGTGTTTATTTTTATCTCAGTAGTGTGGCCTCATATCTATTAGTGCTTCACTAAATCACGATGCTGGAAACTGATTCATACATAGTGAATTAGGTTAGTTAAGCATCTGAGCTGACCATTTCAGAGGCCAGGAAATGGAGCTTAACGTTTAGATTTTTTCAAACATATTTTTTTGAGTGTTTTTCTGAAGTATTGTCTTCAGATTCAACAAAAGCTTGCTGCTGCTGCTGTTGGTTGGCATAGAGTTTTGTGAGCAGTCTGTGCTGCGGCTGACATGGCTAATACCTTGTTGACTTCAGACACTGATTAACTTAACACTGTTTAGCTCCCCAGCTCACTACACGCACACTCACAAGAGAAAACACGCAAATACACACGTACCCAAAGCTTAACAGGCACCAGGCTCTCTCTTTTTCCCTCTCTCTCTCTCACACACACACTCACACGCACGCAAACATAATGAGAGGTTGATGTGAGGGGGGTTTGGCTTCTGGCTGGTGCTGAGGTGACAGGCATGGTAATTTCCTGTGGCAGATTTCTGCCTGTGAGTAGTGGTACAAAGGGAAATGCTTCATTAGCGCATCAATGCTGTCTCAAGGTCTATGTAAGAAACACGGTGGGATAAATAGAGATACAACAGGAGAAACACCACAAAAGGCCGTATGGAATCTAAGAAAAAAATAACTTGTATATCTGATATTTCATTTTTATTCAGCAAATAAGGCTCCTGAACACCAAGTAATCAGTCTGGTAAAGTGATGTTTTACCAGAAACGCGGTGTTTGCTGCCCCCTGTTGGACAGAGTGTGGCATTGACTGCAGTCCTCTACCTCCCTCATACATGTATGCCTATATGAGCACACGGCTTGTCGTTGAAATAACAGTAACTTTATCTTTTAAAAGAAAGTAATCCGGATAACAAAAACAAAGTATTTTCGGATAAATTTTCCAATACCAATTTAAATATATTTTGATTATTGGTTTTCATTTGTGCGTTTGTGCTCAGTTTATTATCCGCCAACAGAACCTATTGGGGTACTACCGACACAGAGTTTGATTGCTGTAATAAAATTAGATGTGCAAAGCGCTTTAACACTCGGATTAAGTGACAACATGAGGACGAGCTCTACCGCAAAGTTGTTTAGCGGGTGTAAAATTACGAGCGCACAGGACACACCTCTAGAGGGAGTTCCCTGGGATGTGGAAACAAGGAGCCGGATCATTTCTCCTAACGAAAAGTCAGGAGTCCTTTCACTTGGAGAGAGAGTCCGAGCCTGAGGTCGTGCGTTGTTCCAACAGCAGTAGCCGTGCCACGAGAGGAAAATGCCCGGGATGGGCAACTCTTTACGCGCGGCTGCCCTCCTGGCTTTCGTGGTTCTTTCTATTTTGGTATCACTCTTGATTAGCGGCGTGCAGCAGTTTGGAGCTAGAACATCGCACAGTTCTAATGCAGGACTCGCTGGTGATGAGACGGAGGCTGCGTCGCTCCGCGGGGAGTTGATTTACCACCTCAACGAGAGACGCAAAGAAATAATTCCGCTGCTTTTACCTGACGATGATGTTGAAAATGGAGTACCAAGGGAAACTCTGCATTCTTCCAGACTGGACTCAATTTTGGATCATAATCTGTGGAATGAGATCACACATGGCTCCAGGAAAGCGCATATGGATGAAATGGGTTGTGATTCTTTGGTGGGCATGCAGGCGGTAGAGATTCTCGGGTCCGGATACACCAAACTAGTTGTCAAAGTGAAGCTAGCCGGAGGTCAGTCCGTGGCGTTAAAACTCGTCAACGAACAGGGGATAGACATGGGAAAGTGTCTGGAGGACTTTAAAGACCCCCACGGCTGTCGAGAGCTCGTTTCTTACAAGTTGAAGAAAGAAATAGTCCTATTGCAAAGGTTGCAGCATCCAAATGTCATAAAGGTAAACTGCTCCATCTGTTTGCTTTATAGACAATATATCTTATTATAAAGTAAAGGAATGTATGGTGGCTTAGAAGCTGGTGCTCACTTCTGAGCACCATACTGCTAGATTATTACGATTTTCCATAATTCCTGCCACGACTCATATTTTCCTTTGTCTCACACATAGTGGCCTCTTTGGCTCTGCAGGACCTTCCCATGTAATTAAATTAAATTCACTGACCCTCTTCTGACCTTTGGGTCCAGTTTGGCAAGAGCAGACAATGTGCCTCTGTGCTCTCTACTATCCCCAGTTGCATCTGAAACCCCAGGCGCTTATTCACTCAGGCCATTACAGCCCAATTTGGAACTTGTTTGAACTACTGTAAATGGATGGGGTTTGTTTCTCATGTACAGCAGTCATGGGACTGTGTCCAACAGCTCAATTGATTATATTTGCAAGTGTGCAGACACATTGCCCTGTAGGCTGTAATATGGTTTTAAGTCTGAGCTGCAGAGGGTACCTTGGCAGAACACCCAGCACTCACAACTTTTAAACACTTTTCTTTCTCTCACTTCTGCAGAGTTAAAATGCAAAAACAATCAGTTTCATAATAAGCGCCACTTCACTTCGACTGACTACATTTATTCTTTAAAGCTCAAAGGTCACTGTGCAGGAGATGTAGGAGGAGAAGGGGGAAGAATCACAGTCATCCTAGAGCAGGGGAGTCCTCTCCAGATGATCCAGCTGCTCCAGAGTCCCTGGGAGGACAGATTCAGGGTAAGCACAATAACTGCGACTCTTCAGCTGCCTCATGCTCTGCCATTTATCCTTTGCACTACACTACACGATGTAGTACTGTGCGTAATGCATGTGCAGGCCCTCGCTCTTACTGGTGGAAGAGATGAAGGTTGAAAGATGAGGCAGGCAGACATTTGAAACTCCTGGAGTTCTGACATCTGTCCCTCAGTGTATTTGATCAGACTGTGGCTGGAATGAAGATGGGTCCTGGAGTTAATCCACTGCAGCTTAGGAATGACATCTTATCCAACACACGCTCACACAAAGTCACATACACGGCTTTAGCTCAACCCCCCATTACAGGTATAGTGACAGTAGTGAGTGAATAGAGGCCGGATTTACACTCCAGGGAACCAAATATGTCTTCATGCATGGATGTTTGAAAGAGAAAGAAAGAATGAGTGGAGGAGAAAAAACATGTCACGCTTGCCTTGTCTTTGGATTAGTAACATCCCAGTCTCTGCCAGTATCATCTCATCAACTACGGCCCTCATTTTGCTGCATCTCCCAAATAGCTGTTCATAATACTCCCCTCGAGCTGCTCTGCCCTTTTCAGCTACGCTGCAACTGTGCAGGCTACAGTAATCCATTGGTGTTTGGTTTCAGCCAGCCCTGTTTTGACAGTGCTTCAATCTCACCAAGTGACGTCCGAGAGACTCGCTGCATTACCTAACACTGCAGCTATGTTTGCAGTGTGACAGAATCATTTCATGCTCTGTCAGTGTATGGCTAAGGCCTTTGGCAGCCTACTTGTTTTCTCTTTCTGTTTGTATTATAGAATTTAACAAGTACTGTAAAAACAGTCTCGGGAAAATGGCTCAGTGAAAATGTCTTAGAAGCAAATAACACAGTCCTTTTGTGAGGCTTTATATTTTACCATTTTTAGTAATTATATTGTTCATCATGTCAGTTTTCCAGGAACAAAAAAACAATCTTTAGCTTGAGCCTCAGAAATGTTTTAGTTCTTCCAGCATTTTTAAAACGTTTTTGTTTGGGGAAAAAGTGGAAGAGGTTGAAAATAAGCACAAAATCTAAACCCAATGATACTATAATTATGGCTATGGCTAACAGTTATTTTCATTATTGATTCATCTGACTTTTTTAGATTAATCTAATCTGAGGTTGAAAATAGTGGCAGAAGATCAACCATTTTGACAGTCAAGTACATTTCTAAGCATAAATACAAAAAATACACACATTGTTTATTTTTTATTTTTATCATTTTCTATTCCCTGATGCCTTAGAAATGCACCAAGAGCCTCTGCACCGGAGTCAAACTCCGTGTATGTTCAAAGATACTTGGCCATTAAAGATGATTCTGATTCTGAAAAATCATCATTTGTTTTTGTTGATGAATGAATTAATCAATTATCATAATTTATGTAGCTGTATAATCTTCAGTGTCCTTGAATCTGCTTGGATCTTGATAAAACTGCGTTTTTATATCATGCACTCATGTTTTATATAGTTAAGTTTTATCTCTCTTATGACTCTGAGGTTGTGTTTGTGTTGTGTTATTTGTGATTGTTGGAAATCAGTGATGTACGTTCTTAAGTAAATGTGTGTGACACCTAGCTTATGTTCCTGTTTTGGGAAGGACTTGTTAAATACAAAGTGTATCTCAGGAGACTTTCTATTTAAATAAAAGTTCAATATTTTCTGTTGAGTAATTGTTTCAGCACTAGTCAGCATGTTTTTGGAGTTGGGAGTACAAAGTGCTGTTGCTTGACTATGTTTCCATCCAGTTGAAAAAGAGTCCACCTGACCAGGTTTAGGCCTGTCTCCCCCCTCCCCCCAGGTGTGTCTGGACCTGGTCCGGCTGCTCCACTTCCTCTCCCAGTCTACTCTGGGCTCTGTGGCCCTGCTGGACTTCCAGCCCCGGCAGTTTGTCACTGTGTCCGGCGAGCTGAAGCTCACAGACCTGGATGACGCCAGCGCCGAGGAGACCGCCTGTCAGACTAACACAGACTGCACCCTCCAGTTTCCACACAGAAATTTCACTCTGCCCTGCTCGGCTCAGGGAGAGTGTGAGGGCTTGAATGAAAAGAGGAACATTTACAATGCCTATAGGTAAGAAGAATGACAGTTTAACTCCATGATAGACATGATGGATGGATGGAGCAGCGGCTACGTGAATGATTGCTTAAATATAGAACCAGCTGACAATGCTGTTGATAGTAAAGACGTGCAGCTGGAGATCTGAAGTTTGTTGGAGGAGGTGTGTTGCATAAATTGGTAGTTCCATGAGTATTTCCCCTTTAAAAAGCCTTCAGATAATTGACAGCTTTATAGGCTCTGTTTGTTTTCTCACTACTGTGAGACAAGTCATGTTCTGTGGGAACTATATGACATGGCATGTCTGTCTGAATGAGTTGTCTTTGCCTGGCCCCAGGTATTTTTTCACCTACCTGCTGCCTCACCAGGCCCCGCCTGGCCTCGCACACCTGGTAGACCACATCATGAACTCCACAGGTGAGGACAAGAGACGTCTCAACATGACACGGAGAGTAGGAAACAAATCATTCTATTATTGTAGTTGTGTAATGACTTGTTTCAAGTCTAAGTGTTTCTTTTAATGAGCTTGACAAGATGCTTCATGACATGTAACATGGTAATGAATACAAGTTGTCTATTGAGCTCACACGACCAGGATTATATAGGGGAGCATAGTGAGGGGGGAAACCTAATCAGTCATATTAATATATTTACCAGATTTTATTCATTGAATGTGTCCAGGGGACCTTAAAGCTGACATCAATCAAACACTGGAGGCTTTTGAACACATCCTCCACCTCTACAAGTCTGGCCTGCACCTGGACAACCTGCCTTCATCAATAATCAAAGGTAAAGAAAGGCTTCTTTATATAAAGTGCAGTGGGCTCTCTTGTAGATCTCTTTCTTTGAGGGAATGTTTCACTTTTTGATCCACTAGTACAGAAAATTCAGACACTGTTTTTATTTTGTATCTTTAAAAAAACGAAGGCCGGCGTTTCTCCTGCTTAGGCTGTTTTGACAGGTTTATTAGGCAGCTGGAATGAGAGTACAAGACCAGCAAAGTGGAATTAATGCCGCATGACTCCAGCTCACAAACCCCACTCGGCAGTCATTTAAACAAACTGTGCTGGGATTACACAGAGTTAATCTTTACATAAGGTATTGCTCTTGTTTAGTTAGTTGCCTCTCAGGCTAGTCTTACCAACAATTTTTTTTTTAAACTCTTTGCTCAGTTTTTCATTTCTTAATATAAAAACTGTAGTTGACATGCTTCTGCCATTCAGAATAGTTATATAAAATAATTTTTTGCTCCGTTTTCAATTCACTAATTGTATACTATCTCTATAAACACCGAAAGTCCTTCGCTTTTCCTCTTTCCAATGTGCCTCCATTCGCTCCCCTGCACCCCATCAACCCTCCCGATGCTCCTCTCAGCTCTATGAAATATTAATAACAGAACGACTGGCCTGCCTGTTCCTGTGGTGAGATTTTTCTGTTCCCCAGATGCTGGACTGTTTATATAGCAGTACTTTGTGAATTTAATCATATATTCGGGGTAAGGCAGCCAGAGTGCTGAGACTCACACCAGGAGGGAATGTTTTAGCTTAACAAGGAGGTGCCATAAGTCGACCCTGCTGCTGAGCGTGTCTGATAAGACCTAAAAATGTGTGTGTACTGTATCTTACCTTACCATATTGTGGGTTTACACTGAAACTGAAATAGGTATTTTTTTTGGGTGGGTTGATAATGTTAATGTTCTTAGCTTAGTTTAATTTAATGTGGTTTAGTAAATCAGTTCATTTAGCTTAGTCCACTTTGTTAGTGCATAGTTTGGCCTATTGGGAAATGCGCTTGCTCTCTTTGTTACGGTGAGTTTGAAGATAGTAAATATATATAAATGGTTACTACAGCTAGTAGCCATTTAGCTCAATTTATTATACAAACTGGAAACGTGGAACCAGCTAGCTTGGCACTGTCCAAATGTTAAAAATATGCCTACAACACCTCATAAAGCTAAAAAAAAATTTGAATTTTATATCTTGTTTGTTTAAGAGGCTCAACTTGCTGATGGCAACACTTTAGTAAGTTCCTGCTACCAGACAAGATATGTAGCACATGACCTCATGTAATATAAAAAAATGTTTTACACAACACTTAGGAAATAGTGAGCTTTAAAGGTACTTGATTCTGTTAGCTGTGGACAAAGCCAGGCTAGCTGTTTCATACTTTTCCCAGTCTTTGTGTTTAGCTAACACTTTTAGTTTAGTTTAACCTAGTTTAGATGAGTTTTGTTTGTTTTGTTTTGGGCTTGAAATTTTGGCAAATGCACTTTTTGTGCTTTTCATGCTGAGAGTGAAATTAGATGATTTCCTCGCTCATACAGCGAGTGGGTTTCCATCAGAATGTAGTACAGATTTTAAACACATTACCAGTTATGTAAATATGTGGAGCTGGTTTCAGATAAACACCTGGTGGAACTAGTTCTCTGGTGATATTAAACAAGATGATGTACATCACATCACATTTTGTCTTTATAATTTTCTACAGAGCCAGACTAGCTGTTGCCGCCTGTTTCCAGTGTAAGATAATCTCCCCAGTTGTACCTTTACTGGACAGTTACAATAGTAGTGTTGTCAAATAAAGCAAATAGAGAAAGAGAAAAGCAAATAAATGTATTTCCCCAAATGTCAAACTATTATACTAAACGGTTATACAACCAGAACAGGAAAAAGCCTATGCAGTTGTGCATTTAAAAAAAAACATGGGCTCATGTCTCCCCACAAAAAATGAGAACCGCAGCCAAGACACAAACACAAAGAATAAAAGAAGCCAAGTGGCAATTCACAGTGGAAACTGTGTGACAATGTCAGTGTGTGTGTGTGTTTTGAGAGAGACTGATCAGCTCTCAAGTCTTCATTTGAAATTGCTGGCAGATGGAGATTTATTTGTAATTTGGATGTAACCTTTCTACAGCTGAGCTCATCTGTGACTGGAGATGTAGTTTCTTAAAAAAAACCCTGTTGCTTCAAATACAAATTTAGTTGTGGGCTGAAATGAAAAGCATGAATTCATTTAGGTCCTGAACCCTTTCAGAAATAAAACCGTTTGATATTCTGTACATTAATATGAGAGTAAGCCTCTTTTCCTGTCACTAAACTCACACAGTGAGAGAAGGGGGTTATATTCATATGTCTCTGTCTCTTTAGCTTCTCCACAGGCCTCATTTTTCTCTCCACTGAGAAAGATCCTATAAACACTCCCTTTCCTTGTTCCTCTTTCTCAGACCAGGAAGGCAGATCATCGTGTCTTTTGCCCCTTAACAATACTCCCCCACACACACACTAGCTCCTGCCATTTAGGAAGGTTAACAGTTTGTAACCATGTGCCTCCTCCGTACCGGCTCACAGACGAGGCTTTTGTCCTGTTCTGGTGTGTGCGTGTGTGTAGGCATGTGTGTAATTCTTTCTCATGACTGCTGCTAATATGTAGCAGATGATTTAAGGGCAGATCCGTAAGAAGTCTGACTGAAAGAATTATAATGATGAATGTAACGACAGTGTTGGGCAGGAGGAAGGTTGACTGAAGTGATTTCTCAGTACAGAGCAACAGTTTGTGCCAGAAGAGCTCAAAACTAGTGTCAGATGGGGGTTTTTGTTTGTTTGGTTTTTGTTTATTTTACAAAGACTGTAATAGCTGTAGCCATAATAGTCATTGCTTGAACAGTCGGATTATTACAGAAGAGGTTTAAGCCCCCTGTGCAAAATTTGACTTCTGACTTTTTTCTCAGAATTCTGAGTTTAAAGTCAGAACTCAAATTTTGTCCAGTGGACTTGATCATTTTCTTTAAATAATAAGATGATCACATGAAAATACATCTCTTGGTTCTTTGTGAACATGTTAATGCACAAGATATCAAAATATATTGTGTGCGGCATCTAGGAACATTTCAGGGCCATTAGATGACCAAAAACGATATTTTCTTAAATGCAGTTTATACATTTTCTTATACCACACCAGTCCCTATCAGTACTTTTTAATACATTTGATCATAATAAGAACTCCACGGTTTCTACTAAAATATGTTCACACCCAAACTGAATCCTGCTGTTGACAAAATGTGCCTTTGAATCTGTTAATCATAACATATTAGGAGTACTTTTTAATTCAGTAGGAGCTGCATACTATATTTGCACAACAGCGGCGTAGCTTCCCTTATACTCCGCTGTATTAACTTTCCCCACAAGGATCATTTAACTTTCAACTTATCCTCAGAGACTACTTCAGAATCTTTCAGTAACCTCATGTATTGAAATGGCATTTCCTCTTCTGTGGTCAGATTACACCATGATGCGCGGTATGGGCACCTCTGGAAACGTGGAGTACCGCTGCTGGCCGTCCTACAGTCCGCAGGGCTGCGTGCTGTCTGTCCACAGTGCCAGGGAGGCAGCCTACGTCTGTAACTCCCACTCTCAATGCAACAGCTTCACTCTGACTGGACAGAAAACGTGGACGGGTTAGTCAGTAAATTCCCTTCTTTCTTTTGAGCTGTTATCTCACCCAAAAGTCTGTCAAATATTATTTCTTATGAAGCTGAGTCTTAAATACCGCTTTCCAGCTCACTTCAGTATGAAAAAAAAACTCATTAGATATGTTAAAGTTGCATGTACAGACACTGAAAATGCTCTCTACTAACCAAGTATCATTGCCCACAAAATCCCACCTGTCACATGGCTGCTGAGTAAACATACACAGCGCTGAATCCTTTCATCTTTTGATGAAGCTTTTAAATGTTGATATGTACACAGTTATTAAGAATATCAAGTCAGAACATGTTACTTTATTGATGTTTGCCAACATGTTAAACATGGTATTTTCCCTTTCTCTTTTTTTTTTACAGGTCGCCTCCTGGCCTCTTTCAGGAGCAGGTTCAGTCATCTAGTGCCTGATGGGATGTCAGAGGTGTATGTGAAGAAAACCAACGCTCCTGAAAGTTCTATAGTGTAATCTGAGGAATGAACAGAACAATCGTGTGGGGGTTTTTTCCAATCTGGCGTTACTGGGGCGTGGGACGAGACATAACACAGTGCCGGTGATGTGAAACAATGCAAAATGTTGCACTTAAGATAAGAAACTGTGCCCTTCTCGTGAAGATGTTGAAAGCAGCTCTGCTCTGTGGGTTTTGCATGAGGGCTGTCGTGGCTAAAGTGGGGGCGTTTGAAGTGAGGCAAGTGAATTTGATGTATTTATAGGGCTTCTGCTCAGTGACTGTTTGATCTGCCTGCCAGCTCAGTGTCTCTGCCAGCTGCTATTTAAAGGGATTTCCCTTCAGGTACAGTTAAGGAGGGGATAGCCTTGTACCCTCAACATGTTTTTGTTTTTTTTTGTTTTTTACCTTACCTTGTCTTTATTTGGCATGTGTGTTGGCTTTCGTTGTGAGGCCGGAACCCCGTAGTAGGATTTTTAAGCCAAAGAGGTAATAGGGACAACCGCTGCAGCTCAACGTTTGAAGCCCCGAGGACGAGAAAAGAAAACAAGCTCTTATGCAAATACACTTTGATGTTAATGCGTTGAGATTGCGGCTGTTTTTCATGGTTCCCTTGCTTTAGCTGCGCTGCGGTATGAGATGGCAACAGCCATGTAAGCATTTACACATCAGCAATGAGCAAAGATGATTAAAACCATTCCAGAGGAGTTTGTTTGTACATACTTTTGTAGTTTATAGTGCTTAGGTCATAAATATTTATTTGATGAGATAAAATGTAATTGTTCTTACATGACCGTACATTAGAGCTTATGTGCACCTTGTGGGTGAAAATTTTATTTTCAATGAAAAATTATTCACTTCAGTGTTTTTTATACTTCACTAATTGCAACTGTACAGTTTTACTGTTTGTAATTACATAAATGTATTGTTTCTACATGGTCATTTGCATTTTTAATGTATTAAGTTTTGCTATAATGAACAGCCTGTTTATTTCTCATTAGCACCTGTGTGTGTCATTCGGGGAGGCGACACTTGCATGTATATACTGACCTGGTTTTGTGTGTGTTTAAGTCCTTTATCTGATCACATGCCCCAACATCTACAACCTGTAGCGCATCTGAATGGGTGAGACTGCAAACCTACCAGAGCTCCGCAGAGTTTGCACAATACCAGAGAAATGCATTCAAATGCCCTGTCATGCTGAGCTCATTATGGGCCTTAATTAATGCATGTAAATTAGCTCACTCACTGGCCCTTTCTCATGGTGAGAGAAGGGACATCACTGTAAGACAAAGGCAGACATCAGGACAGTCTGAACTCAATCCGCAGTTTGCACACGAATGGGCCTGCCATCTGTGCCTGCCAGGAAGAACCTGGTGAGGTTGAGATAAGGGCAGGATTGCAGAGTGGCAGACTGAAGGAGGTCAGGGCCTAGCATCAACATTCATCAGCCACAGGATTTCTGCTGGGAGAGAAAGAACAGGCCAAATACCTGAAATGTCCTGAAACAAGCCAGAGACTTTTCTAACATGTAATCCCCCATTCGTCACGGGTTTTTTGTTGCTGTTACAAAGGGAAAAATCAAAATCTTTATTCTTAGTGTTTAGTGTTTCATAGTCAGTCTTAAAATTCCAGTTTAAATTCTCAATCCTCATTTTAATTTATTAAAATTGCCCAGCTTTTCAACACAGTTAAACAGCATAATGCAATTTATTTATTTGCATCAGAAATAAAAACAAGAATATAAATAGTAAAGCAAATTCCAGATATCTTTGTGGTGATTCTTTTGCCATTCAGCCATACTACTACTACTACTGACTTGAAAGGACATGTCCTGTCTACAAATTATGCTTTTATGGCCAAGACACCCAGTAGGCCTCAGGGTCTCCTTTGCTGCATGTTGGCCCCTTGTTGTCTGGACAAAGCTGGCTGATTAGGGACTGATTATGGAGATAAGGAGTCAGATTAGATAAAGCCAAAGAAAGTCAATGGACCAGTGCATCACAACGGACTAGATGGTCTGGTTTCCCACAAGAATGTGTGTTTTTTTTGTTTTGTTTTTTTTGGTCTGTGCTATACAAAAATATACAATATCAAATTTCTGAACCAAAAAAAAAAGAAAAGATTTGATTGATTAAAAGTATGGAAAAATATTCCTAGTTGATTCTTATCCAAATGTCAACAGTTAAATGAGAAGAGTGATAGCATGGAGCTACTATAAACAAATAATTAGCATAGATTTGCACATTGGGGGAGGGGGGGTTAAGCTCACTTAATTATTTGCAATGTAGAAGCATGTTCAGGGAAATTGCTTAGTCATTTTCCTGCTCAATGTACATGTATAGCTAGCCGCCTTTAGCCAGCTTTACCCAGGATACAGACTGGAAGTAAATGGGTAGCCTGGCTCTGTCCAAAGGCAGCACTATTATACAGGGAAGTTAATGGTCCCTGTCAAAAAAATATATCATGACACAACCTCCTCTGCAATTCTGAATAGTTGTTTTTAACACTTCAATTGCACCAACTATTTCTTTGTTAGTGTATTTGAGAGGAACTAATAAGCTAGCTACTTTTACCTGATCCTCAATGCTGTGCTAAGCTAACTGGTTGCTGGGTTCTGTGCTTTTACACTGTTTCATTTCACCAGTGCACAGATGGAGATTAGGATTCAACAGTCATGTCTCAAGAATTTGGAGAAGCAACAAAAGTAGCTGAGATGAGCGGCCAACTCAGCGAACTGGCCACACAGCATAACTTTTCAGCATTTATTAAGGTCTTCACACTGATAATACAGAGCTTGACCCTTAAATGTTTTCCAGTCGTTAGCTATAACACTGAAGCTTACAGCTGTGGTTCATCCTCCTCCACATCAGCTTGGAGGGGAAAATGTCTGGCATCGGTCCGGTTTGTCTTGGCCTGCTTTTGACAGAGCAAATGGATGTTCTGGCTTCATATGAAGCCTGCACATTTTATGGTCACATGCAAAGTGCTGATAGATTCATTAGTTTATTCATCTGAATGAAGTGTACTTTCACAGCACAATGCATTGTTTCTTCATATTCAGGTATGTTGAGCCTGGTGTTGGTGAATCAACACCATGTTCTGTGGTTGTTCTACAGGAGGCCTTCACAGCTTATTCTTTGTATTCTGGGTTGAGACTGAAAGTATTGCCTTTCTTCCCACTGACTTTGTTTATTTAGCTGGAAATATGTGTGGAGGTTTGAAGGCTGAGCTGCTCTGAGCCTTTCTTTGTTTCAGTATGAACATCATTTTTTTCTTTGGATGTTGTCATATTTGTTTTGTGGTGAAACATTTGAACAATGAGGGGTATCTGTCCTGTGTGGTACAGTGTTCCTCTGTTTTTACCTGTGTAATTGACAAGATTGTCCTCTTTAAAGGTTCATGGAACAAGTGGGGGAGGAGTTTTTTTTTTTTTTTTAACTCCACTCCATACCCCTCCATTTGTGTTTTTTTTAAGTTTCCAGTTTCACCCGACTTGTTTGAGTCAGGGTTTTTTCATGACCTCCATCTGGAAAGAATATATGTTCATGAAAACAAGCCATCAGCAATTTTGGGAAAGAAGTGTGTGTGTGTGCACGCACGTGCGTATGTGCAGAGAGGGGGACACTTGGGCCTCTTCTGTGAGATTCAAGCTCCACCAATATAACAGCGCTAGTGCAGTAAGGACGACTAAGAACCAAAGCCTCCATCATCCTTTCTTAAAATTTCGGTGCAATGTGTTTGTGGTCTGGTTCAAGTCTTTGATTTACATGCAGAGTTAGTCATCAAATGTTTGAAACCACAGCTGCTGGGAGAAATTATGTGTCAGGCAGGTCTTTGGCAAAATATTTGACCTTGGCTCACACTAAAAATATGCATTAACTTGGTGAAAGCCTGCATAGTTCTGCAGAAAAGAAGATCTGGCTTGTGTTGGAGCTGCTCATATGAGTGCATGCAGCCGGTGACAGGAGAGATAGAGCAGATATTCACCCGACTCCAGGCTTACAGAAACACCTCTGTGCCCGTCTGCCGCCTTGGTTGTGGTACGCTGGAGACCAGCAGGTCACACCTGAGAGCTTCTGAAGAGTAGCCAGACATTTAGCGGCCTGTCTCAAGTACAGAGGCTTCTTAGTTTGCAGTCTATATATCTAACCCTCTAACTAATTGTTTGTCTGTCTGCCTTGGATCTGATACTATCTCTTTTAGAGCCATAATGGCTTTAGCAGGCCCTGAAGGAGAGAGCAAGTAGATGTGTATGAGGAGGTTTTCATTTCTGGCTGTCTGCATTGGGTGGCATGGTAGGTGGGGGGGTGGGTGGCTGGATCATGTTTAAAAGCCCTGAAGTTAACCTCAGTCAAAAGGTTATTGTGTACCACTAAGCCTGGGCCGACACTAGAGGATTTTATAATCTTAACCAATTTAAAAAGCGTGAGCCACAAAGGCATCTTGAAAGGTGTAATGTTCAGCATTGTATCCAGTGACATACTGTATCTATGGACCCACTGCAAAGTTTTCTGGTGTATGGTGAAGCTGATTACTACAGTGCTGTACAATTTGATTCAGAATGGTGTCATGAAACAAACCAAAACAAATTCAAAGTCGACTTTAAAGAAGAATATAACAAAACCAGTAAAATGGTTTATTTCTTTAATGTTCAGTGGTGAATTTCTGAGTTGCTGTTCTGGTTATGAGATCCCCACATGCTCCTCTGCCCTGCCTTCCCTCCCACCACATCACAGCAGCAGTCTGGGTCAGTGCTCTTTTGAAGCTCCCTGTCCCCCCACCTTTCTTTCTCGCCAGTCCATCCATCATACAGAGATCCCTGGAACCTTCTTTCACCCCAGCCGTCCTCCTTTCTTGCTGCCACTGCCCTCCCTCCCTGTTTGAAATACTCCTTCGGGTCAAAAACCTCCATAGCTTCACTATTAATTTAGGTCTCTGCCGCTGCTGTTACATTGTTCCACTAACTCAAACCCTTCATCAGTGGCCTCCTCCTGCCAGTCTTCCACTGCTCCGCTCTGCTTCCAAGTCAGCCCACAGCTGCCGTGAAGCATCTGGAGTTTCCCCCGTCTTTCAGCTGGCTGAGACCTGAGGGCAGGGCCACTGACTATCAGGAACTGTGGTTTGTGTGTGTGTGTGTGTGTGTGTGTGTGAGTGTTGCTGACTGACACTGCTGTTCAAATCAAAGTGCCTGCCTTTTGTTGCATGCTCAAGAATCCCCTCCGTCACACCTCGGCCATTTCTCAGCGGGGGCACGACGGCCCCCAGCTAGAGCAGGGCTTCCTTCTCTACAGTTAATCTTCCACCACAAATGATTCCTCGACCCCCTTCTGAGTTAAAGAATTATACAGGAATTAAATGGATCAAATGCATTCAGGAGTTTTAATTAGATAAGGTGGCCTGATTTCTTTAAACAGACAACACGACGATGAAAGTTTACAGTAGTTCTTGTTTTGCAGATTTACCTTTTCTTTTTGCATACAGTTTACAAGTATTCTTCTTAAATAACCCTAGTAATTGAGAAATGTTTTGGCAGTTTAGCAGATATAGGAGATGAGGAAAAAAAACCTTTATTACAGTCCATAAAGCACATTGTTTCTTCTTTGTTCTGTTCAGTACAGGATTGATTTAACTTTGTGTACATAAATATACACATGTTATCAGATGTCTTGCGGTATTGTTACTGTACCATACATTGTATTTCTTGTGATCCCGTGTGGAATGCTCCAAAATATTTAGCATGCCAGAGAAACAGAAATTAAGGAAGTACCTAACTATAGTTGCAGTTGCAATTCTTGTTCACACAGTGAAGTGCAGCTTCAGTTGCCTCGTGCAGGTTGTTAAACCTGTGGAGAGCTGTGAACTGCAGCTCTTTGCCACAAGTCACCAATTAGGGTTCTGCCCACACAGCCATAAAACAGTTAGCAGAATCATTCGGAGGCTGTTGGATTTAACACTATTAGGAGTTCATTAGTACCTGCATACACAACTGCTGCTGCCATCAGAGGACCATTAACATAGACCCATTAAAGCAGGCTGGAGGCCTTTCACTCATATTAATTAAACTGACATTTGTTTATCACCAAAAGCATATTTTGATATATACTTATTGGTGACATACACAAAGGCTTAAATTTAAATCGCATCTTGAACTTTAAGCTGCAGCTAAACAAGTAATAAACTAATAGCCTGACCTGGACAGTGGGGAGACCAAATTATACATTTTCAAACTGGTTAAGTATAATAAATTACAAAAATTAGGAATTAAATTAATATGTCAACAAGCTATTAAAAATATAGTTTAAAAAATCTATGAGGTGTCATTAAAGACAATGTAAAACATCAGTAAAAAGGGAGAGTGGGTGAAACAGTGACCATGATGGAGGTAAACTAAAGAGAAAAGGCAACATAATAGGTCACCATTCAGTTTGTAGAGGGATCAGTGCTACATGAAGCACACCACACTTGCTTCAAGGGAAATTACAAACGATCGCTATCTAATTTCAGGACCGATCCCAGTGCAATTATTTGTTCCCCTCTGATGTTACTTGTGCTACAGATACTAGATAGTGTAGCATGTTTCAAAAGAAACTGACACAGCTGGCCATAAACAACCGCTAAACAGACTTATACTTTTGATGAAAACAAACAATTAAATGGTCGAATAAGCAGATGCAG